CAGCCCAAGGCCAGGATTTCCATCAGTCACCCAGCCGTGTGCTGGGACTCCAGCCCGGCAGAGCCCTGGCTGGGTTCTTTAAGGTTTAAGTGCTGTCAGGACACAAGTCCTGTTCCACCTTGGTGCACAGCCTGGACCTGCTGCTCCACAAGAACACACAACTGGCAGCTGAACCCAAGGCAGACAAATGCCAGAGCACAGAGGAGCAGTAATAACACGCAACAATGTTACTCGTGGCTTTTGAAAGGAAAAGACAAATCCTGCACAGAGACAGAAAAGGAAAAAGCTGTACAAAATTTCCACATATATAAGCAAAAGGCAATTTAATCAAAATATTTAGCAAATAATTATTTAATTGCATTATGTAACTTTATCTAACATCCAACACAAAGCTACAACTTTATCACCTCTTCATACACCCTTCATTTTCACCCCATACAAATCCGTGCAAACCCCCCAAACCTGGCAGAGCCGAGGCAGTACCTGTGAAAAAACCCAAACCCACCATTCCTGCAGCTCCCAATGTCTGTTCCCAAAGGCTGGTCACCTGCCCTTTCTAACACACTCAGGGCACTTAGGAACTTACTCTGATCTTCTGCTCTCTTAGCACCATTTTCTGGGTATTCTCAACCCGACAGTATTGGTTTGAATAAGCAAAAGTCTCAAGAAAAGCTTCTTCTTTTTATATTAAATAAATTAGGATATAGGGCAATATAAAACCACACACTAAAAATAAAAATGTTCTGATATCAACACAGCCAAACGAGAAACAAGATAATTAACAAATTTTAATCTTGTTATGGATGTATTTAATGCTGAAATTTGCATCTGCAGAATTCACTTGGGAAATTTGTCACAGCTCAGCCCTAGAATATAAGTTAACAATTCATAGTTCACACTTAAAATGCACAGTAAACAAACCTGAAAGTGCAGAGAACAGTTTTTACTGAACCTGAACATAAAAAATATTTTCTCCTTTCATGAAGGAGATACTTTTGATCTGTTGTTCCCATTAGAATCGTATAAATACATGTACAAATCATAGATAAAGGTTTGTAAATAGCAAATGTAAATACAAACCCACGGAATGACACTGGACCAACCCTTTTGGCAATGGCAGTTTGTTACCCAGTATCAAAGTTCAGTGCAGAATATATAATTTAACAATGAACACACTGACAAACTATCAAGAGAAGAATAACTTTTCCCTCTTTTATGCTGCACAGAGTGCTGAAAGTTTTATCTTCTAGGTGACAATGGACAAGTTGAGACATTAAAATGCAACTGCAATTGGACACAGAAAGAAGTCAATATTGAAAGAACTGTCCACACTTTTGGAAAACCTTGCTTAGAAAACTATTGCATTTTACAAGAGGAAATGTGGTCTGGTATAAAAGAACAGTGCCAGTGGTATCCCCGGATTTTTCACTTTCCAGTGAATGACGTGAAAGAGCTATCAAAACTGATTAAAAAAATAAAAGCATCTTCAAAGTATAAGTAAGGCACACTGAGAATTCAGCATCTCTGTCCAGTCCAGCCCAAAGGAATGCACTCTGGAAAATCTAGCAAGACAGACCTGTACTGACTTTGGAATGGCAAAAAATATAACCTGCAGTAAAGTAAGCAAGTCGAATGTAGAGCCCAGCAGACAACTGTCTCTTACTGTGACAAAGGCTTATGACGGTAACTCTAAAATTTAGGATTGAGTCCAAGTATATTCTCCTAAAAAAAAACCTGGGCAAAGACCATGATATAACTCATCACTGTCAATCAAAACCTGGCAGTTTCCAGAGAGCAAGACATTAAAAATGGCAAAAGCAAGGTGATGTATCGTGCAGCAGGTCACACAAACTAATCAAAACAAGACATTTACAAGACATCATACCTTTCATAAGAAAACACCTTTATCAATTATTCTGAGCCCTTCATTCTTGTGGAATTGGTGAAAAACTTAATTTAGTTAATTCAGTGGTAATTCAGTAATTCATTATAGAATTGGTTAAAGTGCTTTAGAACGAATAAAAACAATTCACATTTCTCTATTAGAAATACTTATTCCTTTTGAAACTTGCCTTCAGTAATAATTAACTCACATTTTCAACCTGATGGAACAGCATTAGCAAGAGCGAGCTGGTTATCTGAGAGGGGGCATTTATCAAAATATTTCATGTCTTTGCCAAAGTCCTGTGCCAGAAGAGCTTATCTGTGCTCCGTGTTGAACAGTGGCATTAGTCACCTTTTGCTTTTCCCTTTGGCCAGTGCCTCTCCGTAGGTGAGGTGAATGAAGTCGAAGAGCTGTGTGGCATTGGCAGCATTCCCCAGAATGCTGGCGAGCTCGTCCTTGGACAGCGTCACCAGCTCTGCGATGCTCCTCACGTGGTTCATCAGGGCCCGGCAGTTCTTGGCATTGACACCTGGCATTTTCAGGAGGAAGTCCTGGGGCCCGGGGTTGTACTTGTCCGACTCGGGCAGGGTTTCCGAGTCCGCGGTCACGGCCATCGCCGTCTCTGCGTCGGGCTGGGGGTGGTTCTGTTTCAGCTCCTCGAACAGCTCAGCAGTGGCGTGGGGAGAGGGACACCACAGGATCCGCAGCTTCGGGAAATGCAGCGTCAGGAGGGTCAGCTTAGAAGTAACGTCATTACTGGAAATTTCCTGCTGCAGGGAGCCTCGTGGGATCAGGGAGAACGATTTGTTGGGATCGAACTCAATCAGGAGGACCGGTCGCTTGTAGTAGCGGCACATGGCAACGCACTGGGAATACAGCCTGCCGTTGTTCAGGGAACCAATCAGGTCGCTGATGCTCTTCCGCTCCACGCAGATATCAGGAGTCAAGATATAATCCCCAACTTCCAGAGTAACAGGCTCAATGTCAATCCCACGGCGATGAATCAGCGATGGAAGCTCACTCCGGAATTCCCGCATATCCACGATGATAGTTTGCTGAACATCCTTCTGCTCCTGTCCCCCTAAAACCAGAATAAACACAGTTATCCCCATACTTGTGACCTGCAGCTCCAGCTGCAGAGCTTTCAGGTGTGCTGCCAATGCTTCTGTACTGGATGGACTTCACATTCCATATTATACCTCCAATTCAGCAGTTTAATAAATCCAGACTTAGTTTAATTTTCAGTAACCCAATTATGTATTGTAGTTTATGGAGTACAGTCTGCAGTTTCACAGAATGCCATGCTACCTGCTGTAAGCTTTGTGCATGTGACAATGAAACACATTCAACTATAGATAAAAGTTATTTAAATAAATCAGGAAAATCTTTTAAAAGTTGCCTGCAAAACAAGATAACAAAGCCAATCCTTTTTATTTCCAGCTGTTTCCCACAGAAAATATGGCATTTTATTGCAGGACTTTTGTGTTGGCTTCTACAGGTCTGCAAAAAGACAAGTCTACATAAAGAGACTGCAGCACCAAGGCCACAAAAGACATAAAAGCAAAGATCAGAGAGCACATGGTAAAAGAGAGCAGGATTACAGAAATGACAGCAAAGAAAAGCGGGCAGAGCTGTGAAGATAAAGGCACAGTATAGATGTCAGAGGAAAGGAACAAAAATGTGGTTAGAACTGCAAAAAAAGAAAAAGGATGTTTTATTACAAAGAAAGTGATCTAAAACACAATCTGCAGTTGTTTACCCAGGCAATCTGTTCTGCCAAGATGAAAAGATGTCCCCAACATTTACTAGCTCAAGGACAACTTGGCTTCCTTTGACTATCTGCAGACTTCAGTTTCTATGTTTTAATTTCTCTCCCTACAAACAGCACAAGAGAGTCTTATATCCAACAAGCTGCCCAGAAACTATCCAAATTGTCCCAGTGGTAAACCCCTTCATTAGTCTGCATTGTCAGAGCAAAGCACAATTCACTGTCGTGGGAAATACTGTTCCTTTGCCATGAAGACTGCAGAGCCCGTGGAGGTGTCTCTGACCCTGGTGCCTGGCTGGGATTTCAGTGCAGTGGTGATGGGCTCTGCAGGAGCTCAGAGCTCAGCCAGAGCTCAGGCCCCGCTCACCTGCTTTGCGAGTGTCTGCAGCCACGCCGGGGGGTCTGGCGTCCCTCAGCAAGTCCAGGTTTGTTTCATCTCTTCCTTCTCTTTCTTCAGGAACAACCATGCTGGCCTTCTCCCTGAGGAACCACAAACACACACACACTAAGAACTGCAAATGTATGAGAAAAACAGACCGAAATAGTTCAACACTCTTCCTCCAGATGTAAAATAACTAGAGACAGAACCATAACCTGATGAGAAGACACTGTCAATAAAAATACTGTCTTATACAGTCTAAGGAAATAATTTACCCAACTGAATTAGGTTATAAAAGCCTTAGGAATTATCTTACAAGAAATGTTACTTGCAGACAAAAGCACAATTACAAAAATGAAATTCACAGACAGTCAGGGAGAAATCCAAGTGGTGCTGTTCAGCCTTAGAAGTTTAATATGAAATCCCGCTAAAATAATTAAATAAAATGGGTTTTGACTTTTTGTTCTCTTAACACCTGAAAAACAGTTGAATTAAAAGTTTATTTAAAGCCTTCACACAGTTAAGAAGTTCATTCTATTTAAAATATAAGCATGTAAGGGAATTACATGGAACACTAATAATGGAGGTGTTCAAACTAATTGTGTTACCGAATGAGTTTTTCAAAGGCTTCCTTCTCCTTCCTCAGAGCTGTGAGATAACGCTGCTCTTCTGTGGAGCCCCCATATATGAGGAAATAAACTCTGTAAGTATGAAAGAGAAAAAAAACACCTCACAAACTTCATATTAACTTAAAAACAGCCACAACCAGCATTTAAGATTAGAAGCCTGACAAGTTAGTCAATAATAGTATATTAAAGTTTTCTATATTTTTAATTAGTTTGAGTGAGTTTGTGTATCAAATATCTATACACAGAGTGGCGATCTTTCTGTCAGCTAGAACAAAGTGTAACTGCAAATACTTCTCATTTTTTTTACTGCGTTTTCCTATACTTGTTTTTCTGTTGCAGTTTCTGAATTACTGGTCTTCAGCATGATCAACATCAGGAAATGTGAACATGAATTAAATCCAAAATGCATCTTATTGTGTAAAAGTCATACCCATAGAAATGGTTTAAAACGAGGCTACATCACCTCAGAATGCTCTACTGCCCTTAAGATCATTGAAGCAAGGGTCTTGAAGAAGATGGAATGAACTTTGAGAGGGACTAAATACCCTCTGGAAAGCAAAAATTATCTTCTCGTTACTCCAGACATTTTGCTTTTGTTTACAGTTAGGAAGAGGGCTAAACAGGAATGAAAGGGTAGCTAAAGAAAATGAACAGCTGCACATTCTGCCTTGACTGCTGACAGCGCACTTTTTATTTTTTAAGACTAGAATTGCCAAGTGGACTTGCCTCAGAGGTTTCCCAGGCCTGCTGGCCTTGTAGATCTCCAGCTGGCGGACAAAGGTTAGTTCTGCATCATACAACACCACATATCTGGGCTCCACTTCGTGCAGGACACGGCTGAGGGCGTAGGGATCACCACAGCTCTGCAGCGGGTGGATGATGGTGAGAGGGTCCTTGAAAATCCCATAGTAACAATCTGAGGGCAAGTTCACGTCAAAATCTTCAGGAATGGCCTCTTCAGCGCTGCTTTCTTGGCTACTGTTTACTTCTTTGGTCTCTTCCACCTCTAACTCCTCTCTCTTTTCCTCCTCGCTCTTCCCTATCATTTGGATTATCGTCCGCTCTTGCTGCTTCTTGTGTTTCTTTTGTTTTGAAGAAGCTGCGAGTTTGGCTTTTTTGGCTTGAGGCCCTGGGTCTGGTTTGGCATTTCCTTTGGACTTGATGGCTTTTCTGTCTGTAATCCATACTTCTCCAGCTTTCTCATCCTTCCCAAAGGTTTTGTTATAGAGCCTTGTTAAAAAAGCTTCTGGTCCAGCAATAATGTACTCCCTGAGCTGCGCACAGGCTCGGTCATCGCTGGCACAAATGAGCACTTGCCCTGCAGTCGAGAAACAACAGCATCTTTACAGCCTGTAATGCTGTGCTTCTCCTCCACCTACAAGGCATCTCCTGAGCAAATTGCTTTTACTGAGCCTGGGAGCAATGCCTGCCAAAGACTTTTCTATTTGGTTGTCACAGTTGCTCTGGAGTTGGAGAGAAATCTAAATTGCATGGGCGTTTTGTACCAACAAGATTAGAGGAGATTAATGGAAGTTCAGCATTCCTTATTCTCACAACGTCTAAATTTGTGAGGCTTTCCTTCTGACCATCTGAAACATAGTGTGTATTGAAATGTACTCACAACTGCTTGCTTTTAAGATGTGGAATAAGAGAGAACTTAATTTAGACCATTCTAATTTTCAGCCTTTGTCAGCTGTGACAGAAAGTCAAAAAAATAGATATTTCACACATTATTATTGACATTTGTGGTCTTGAATAACAATTCTCCACAAGCTGACTCAGATAAACTCCTACAACACTAGGTGAGAGAGCCAGTTCTTATGCAGTCAGAACACTGTGGGTGGGAGAAAAGAGCACATTTTTACCCTTACTATGTCCTAAAATAAAACTTGCTGAAATTTAAGGGGATGAACAGCCCTAAAATAGGAAAGGCAGCAAAGCAGTTAGACTCTCTACCCTGCCTTCTAATCTCTACCCCATTTATATCCATCTCCTGCAGAGGCAAATTTTCAGGTGCGGGAGAAGAACGTGTGAGTTAGAAAGGGCACTTTTTTTTGAACCTGAACTTCAGAAATGAGTGAATGGTACCTTGATTATTATACATTTCCACATCAGTTTTATTGGGCTTGGGAATAAGGTATAAGTATAATATTGAAATGTAAGTTAAAATATTTTTTCAGTATAATACAGGTTCTTTCCTAAACAGTATTGCATAGTAACCAACAGCATTTCTCTTTGAGAGCCAGATTTAAACATGAGTTTATGTAAAACTATCTAATTTTACAGAGTTTATGTACAGAGTAAACATACTCATCTTAAGTCCACAAATTGTTAAATTTAAACTAGCTCTTTGATAAAACTGCAATAAAAGTTAAGTTCCCTCTCTCCAAAGACAAGCAGAAGTGCAAACCAGCAGTACTGTGAAAACTCTCACCTGGACCACCAAGGTCGTCACTGTTCTTATTCTCATTTTCAATCTCCTTCAGTACTTCTCTCAAAGCTTCCCATTTTGGGTTACTTTCGAGAACCAATTCCCTTTTCAGTTCTGAAACAAAGTAAGATTGAACATAGCAGCTCTTAGAGCCAAAATATCCCTCAGACTTTAAATTAGTGGTGAGATGTCAATAGCATGATGGCTGTTGGCAAATATGATATTCAACAGCCTACATATGCAATGTGTTATGCTACTGGGTTGGAGAACACTCTTAACTTTAAAAATGGAGGTAAGTGCTTTAGTGAAGCAAAAAGTTGAAATATTCACTTCAATTCTGAAACCCCTGGGTATATTTTAATAAAAGCAACCCCAGCCTCCTACCCATTCATGTAAAATAATAAAGATCAAGCTAAACACCAGTGTAATACAAGAATTCCACAAAAGCTCTCCAGTGATCAGCTGAGCAAGCTTAGGAGAACCCCTTATTTCATGACTCTTGTATGCTGTTTATTATATGCTTTTTGAACTAAGATTGTCTCAGCTTATCCCAGCTAACAGACTGAGATCCTGAGCTGTGCAAGTTCACCCAGGGAACCAGAGACCCAGTAATACCATGCAAAGCCCGTGAAATCGTGTGACACTCCCCAGGTTAATATTAGGAATGATCAGTACCATTTTCCTTCTTCACATCCTGTTTCTCAGAGCCTTTGCCCTTCTGGCTCAGTTTCTCGTCTGCAATGCGATAAACTCGGGCCCGAGCGTTGACAAACATCGAGGTACTGGCGTCAAGGAACAGCCAACCTGAGGGGAAAGGACAAGGAGGCAGTGGTAGTTTGATGTCTGCAGTGTGGATGGGTTTCAACCCTTTGCAGTACAAGCCCCAAATCTCTCATCTGGAATACCTGTGCCACCTGCTTGCTGTGCAATCACCAGCTTAATAAGAGACAAATGTGATGCAAATCTGCCCCTGTTAAGTAACAGCAGTTCAGTGGGAAGATGAAAGCATTATCTGTCAATAAAAACCTACGTCCTTATGGCTGGTTATGTAAAACCTAATTAGGTACCTTCAAATGTTTGGGAATGCTAATTAAAAACATCAATATTCCACTGTTTCATGCATTGACTTGTATGGATCTTCGGTGTTTACCTGAATTCTCACCAAAAGCTTTTTCACTTGCTTTCAGTGACTCCAGGAGATTGAGGAAGGTGACACAATCGTACTGAGTGAGGTACAGGAGCAAAGTACGGAGTATCTTCAAATCCTGGACCAAGGATTTTGTCTTAGCTCCAAGCTGATGCCACAGAGGATCTAAATAGTGACGTATTGTCTAGAAACATAAATTGGAAAGTTCAGGATGTCAAATATATAGTACACTAACCACGCTAAAAATGCACATTTTTTTCCTTTATAGAGGATGCCACTAGTTTCCTGAAGTTAATAAGGATATCAAATTAAAGATCTGATGGTAAGGTGTTTTTTTTTTAATATAAGTTATCATTTTTTAGCAAAGCTAACATAATGTAGATGCCTTATGTAAAATATTTCAGCAATTAGCAGATGTATATCAATTAATGCTTTCAGTACCCTTTTTCCTCTCCATCTAACAATAAAATATTGGTAAAATACTTCCCCCCACCCTTAATTTACTGGCATTGGCCTGCTGTATTTAGTTTCACTATTTTGGTTGATGTTTATGATTTCACCTCAAAGAAAGCACATCTATGGCAAACATTGCACATCTGCCACAAACAGCAATGAACACACAACTGTTGCCATATACAATGATTAAAGATGCAGCAGATGCATGCATGTGCATACTGTCTATTATACACTTGTGCTTCTCCTACTAGAGGAAATGAAAAACACAAATTAGAAAGAAAACCATGAATCAGGATGTTCCTGCTGTAGAGATTTGGGAAAGGAAGGAAGAACAGTAATACCTACACACCAAAAACCCTACTGGCAACAGGCACATCACTGTTACATCAACTGGTGCCAGTAATAAACATGTCATGGGAGAAAACTCAGCTGAAGGTTATTTATTGTACAAATAACATTTCTGTTTGCATGGCAGTTTAAAGATCTCCATCCTGCTAAGACACTGCAGAACAATCCAAATGTTACCTTGTCAAAAGGTTTTCCAATAGCATTTTCTAAAGAGAGATCTTCTACTTCAAGAACTGGATTATAACGTTTGAGTTCTCTCAGACAGGCATTCAAAATGTCCAGGATTGATGTCTGGATAGCAAGCATAGCAGGGGTCATTGCCACATGTATTTCCACCACTTCAGGTTTATGCTTCTCTAAAAATGAGTTCACTGCTATATGAAATCTAAGAGGAAAACAGCTGATTAAGATTTACATGGAAAGTTTTCTTGATCCACAATCACTCAAAAGTTTGTATAAACTACAATTACCATCGTTTTAAATGCGAACAAGTAAGTTAATTCCAAAGTAAATCAGATTTCACTGATGTGAAGACTGCAATCTCATGAACAGCCCCAGAAAACCATCTGTTCCACAATGATGACTGTAGGCATTCTAGTCATGTGAGCCTATAGGGCTGGTGAATGAGCCATGGAAAATTACTGCACTAGATTCTGCATCATCATTTCACAGAACAAATACTAAAGTAAACCCAAAAAATCTCAGAAGGGGGAAACTGGAACAGGTTCATGAATTCTCTGAAATCAAACACTGCACCAGCAGGTTCTGCGACATTCCCAGCTCGCAAGGATGAGCAGCAGGTCCTTGTGGGAAGCCTCCCCTGCAGCCCCTCAGCTGCACAGGCACAGACACGTCACTGCCTTTCCCTAACAGGGAGGCTCAGGCAGAGTGACAGTTCATTAAGATGGAGTGAAACACATTCTAGCCTGGAACAAATGGGAAGAGCTCCTGCCCAAGGCAATGGAGTCAGCAGATAAAGGGTCCAGTTCCATTTGTGGCTCTGCTTCTGAATGATTTAACACGTGCCACAGACTTGGCAATTCGGTTTTTATCAGTCATCAAGAAATACTCTTCATACACAACATCCATGTAAAAGAAGATTAAATAAATCTGACATGTAGAAAGAGATCCATGGAGTTTCATCCCAGCTGGAAACAAACACCTCCCTGGAGAACTGAGAGACTGTATTCTTGTTCCCTGATGGCTTAAATACTCTGTTTAGTCACTGAATTTTTTTCTTGAGCTATTAAGAGTGTCACTTCCTGCTGTGATTACTGTTGGTTAAAAGGACAGCTCTGACATAAAGTTCAGCCCCTTAGAGAGTTAATTTGAGTCTATTTTCAAAAATACTTACAGATGTTTAGCACCTTCAAGACCACTGCAGTCAAAACCTGAATAAAATTTGTTTGGGGATATTAGAGGGAACATTGATAAGCAGTGTGACTGCATACACTCTGTTTTCTGAGGAATGAATCTAACACCCTTCATCTTTCTTTTAAGTTTAACTCTCCAGTGAAGTAAAGAAGTGCCTCACCTTGGCCACAGATAAAGCTTACTGACAAAAAGGTTTTTCATCACTCTTTCCACGTGGCAAAAGCCAGTGTTAAATGCAACTGCATTGTCTGTAAAAGCTTTAATGAAGCCTTGCTTGTTCTTCTGGCGGTACAGTCGCAGGATAAATGCTTCCTGGCACGACTCGATGATTCTGTGTGCCTTGTACACCAAAATGCCTGGCAAAATAAAACATTTTCAAGTTAGAAGTTAAGAAAGGTCCAACTTTGTATCCAATTTTCCTCATAGCTGTCTCATTCTTCTAATGTTCTTTGGATTATAGGAATTTAAATCTTCTAAAATGAGTGTTGAACAAACTTTCTGGGGTTTGCACAGGTGACTCCTCAGTTTCAGTACCACAGAACTGCCAAATAACAGAACTGTGTTCATGATGCATCTTTAATAAAAAAAAAAAAATTAAAAAATCTTGTGCTTGAGTGGCAGGACTTATCAGCTTAGAAAATTCTTTACTCCTGAGGCATAACTTGGAACCTGAGCCTTTTAAAAGGAGGAAAAGCAAATGCACGACAGAACACACTGTTACAACAGAGCAAGTTTGATGCTTTCAAGCCTGTGATATTTGCATTTTTTTGTTAGAGAAATTCTGGAATTACTCTTGCCAAGTATGTTTCATTGGTAACAGTTCAAGTGTTTACATATTCAAAGAACTTCTGAAAACATTTATTTTGCTTTTCTCCTCCTTCTGATAAGTCATCTTCACACTTAAGGACAGCAAGTACTACCAACTGTGTGAGTACACCCCCAGTTTTATTCAGGGCTATGGGTGTATTAGGAATAAAAGATTTATCAAGCACATTTTAGTAAAGAGAAATGAAACAACAATTTAATTTAATTAGATGTTCAAGACAAATACTTCTGGGATTCACAGTTCACTCAGCCAAGACCCAGGCTTATTTTTCCCTCCCACTTAATCGTGTTAAATAGCACACTGCATTTCTTCCCTCTCCCCTGCTGAAGAGAGGCCTGTGTGGTGACTCTTATCTGTTCACAGCTTCCAGTGGAATCATAAATGCTTTTCTGAAATGGAAACAAAGGACATCAGACATCACAGATTTTACTGTGCTGTCAAGTACATCATTTTTACCTGGCTAAAACTACCAGGACTAACTCTTCATTAGTGCAGTGATAATTTCTTATTTCCATTTAGCTGGACTTTCTGAGTTCATCAGATGTTAATTCGCATGTGATTCTACACTGATTTTATAAACGACATTTATAACACCTAGAAATACTTCTTCTGTGTTAGCTCCTCAAGAAACACTGTTATAGGTTTTTGTTGGTTTTGCTGTACAGTCACACAGGTCAGGCACATGGAACCAGCTGTTGGGGAAGCTGGAAGTGAAGCAGAGGGTCTATCACAGCTGGCACTGACCTCTGGTGGCAATGCACAACCTGTTACAGCTCTGTAAAAATAATGTGAATGTTCTCAAATGGTGTGATTAAATAAGACAAGCAAGTTTGGAGCAAAGAAAACTATAAAAAATAGGAAAGAACTACATATTTGCTCTTTTTACCTCAGTCTTGGTAGGAAGAAAGGAAAAGTTCTTCAATACTGGTTAGTAGAACTCTTCATATAGAATTAAGCTTTATGTATGTTCAAACAGAACACTTCTACCTTCATTTCATTAAACTCTTACCAGTAATGAGGTTGGCAGGAATTCTGTCAGTAAGGAAATCCACCACAAGGATCCGACTCGTTGCAAAGATGACTCCTCCTTGTGTGTAAAATTCATACCGAGTATTATTTGCAATTTCATTGGTAACACGCCGAGGAAGGTGAACAACTCCATCTGACCTCAGCTGATCAATAAAATACTCCTAAACCAAATGCAATAAAAACAAAGACATAAACGTGGTAACTAATGAAAGGGATGCAATAAACACCTTTATTATACATACCCTGCTAATTTTGAGGAGCAGTCCAAACCAAAATATGATAGTATAAGATACTAAAGGAAATCACAATTATCATGATTTTGTTTCTTCTTTGATATACTTTGTTCAGTTTCAAACTCATCTGGGTGATTTAAAATTACGTACTGTCAGTAGTAGCTAGAAAATACTTAAGTAAATATGATCAACTGACACTCAAAGGAGCTTACACTTTCCTGTGTTTCCATAGCTTATTTTCAGAGAACATGCAATTTTAATACTGCTTTAAGAACAGAGAATTGGGAAGAGCTCATCTTTTAGTGCCCTCACCTGCTATCAGACATGTACAGCAGGTAAGTCCTATACATGAAGCTTAATCTTATAAACTAGAGCTGTGATATTTATTCCCCTATGGTCACTATAAAAAGCCCACAGGACCTCACCTCCCTGGTGGTGGGAAATCTCCCTAGTTCCAGGAAAAAAAGAGCAGCTATTTTTTGTACAAGCAGGGACAAACTTGTCAGCAAGTTTCATCCCTTTCTGCTCAGTGGTTACTTACAATTATGTACATCTGCTTGTTTTGGCTCAGTATTGTTTTTAGGGCTTTATAGTGCAGCAGGAGTGGGAATTGAGCTAGTGTGATCCCGAGTGTGCTCGGTCTGACAGTTCCCCCCGGGACCCAGGGTCCTGGGGACAACCAACTGTCCCTGAGCCAGCAGTGCCCTTGTGGCCAAGAAGGCCAGCAGTGTCCTGGGGTGCATTAGGAAGAGCGTTGCCAGCAGATCGAGGGAGGTGATCCTACCCCTCTACTCAGCCCTGTTGAGGCCCGTCTGGAGCGCTGTGCCCAGATCTGAGATCCTCAGGACAAGAGAGACAAGGAGCTCCTGGAATGGGTCCAACAGAGGGTGACAAAGAGGATGGGAGGGGCCAGAGGATGGACCGGGCTCTGCTCGGGGGTGCCCGGCAATGGGACAAGAGGGAAGGGGCAGGAACTGATGCTCAGGAAGTTCCACCTGAGCATGAGGAAGAACTTCTTCACTCTGCAGTGACCGAGCACTGGAACAGATTGCCCAGAGAGGGTGAGGACACATCCCAGAACCGTCTAGACACAATCCTGTGCCGTGTGCTCTGGGATGACCCTGCTGGAGCAGGAGCAGGAAGCAGGGCCAGATGACCCGCTGTGGTCCCTTCCAGCCTGACCCATTCAGTGATTCTGTGACAGCGCCCTGCCCGGCCCCGGATCCCGCACACCCACCCCCGGCCCGCCCCCGGCCCGAGGCGCCGCTCCCGCCCGGGGCAGTGCCGGGCCGGGCCGGGCACTGACAGCCCCCTCACCTCCTCGGCGGGGCCGGTGTTGAGCACGAGCACGAGGCTGGCGGGCTCGCAGTAGAGGCGCAGGAAGCGCAGCAGCAGGCGGTCGATGCCGAGCCCGCGGGCGCACACCACGAGCCCGTCCCGGTGGAACAGGTCCAGGAAGATCTGGCTCTCGTGCTCCAGCAGCGCCGCCATCGCCGCGCCCGCGCGCCCGCGCCCACAGAGGGGGAGGAGGCGCCCCCTGGCGGGCTCGTGAGAGCGGTCCTCCAGCGGCGGCTGAGGGACAGCGGGGACAGGAGGGAGAGATGGGACAGCAGGGACAGGACAGGCGGTAGAGACTGCAGGGACAGATGGACAGGAGGGACAGATGGGACAGCAGGGACTGCAGGGACTGCAGGGACAGGAAGGACTGGAGGATCCCGAGCCCCCGGCGTGGAAGGTGATGTGGGGACGGGCCCCGCCTGCTCCCCTCAGGAGCTGCACCCCCGATCCTCCTCGTGTGGGCGGTGTGAGCGCCGAGTGTCAGTGGGAGGCAGCCGATCTACTCCTCATTATGTGTTTATCATGGCCAGAGGGAATGGCCCGAAGTTGTGTCAGGGGAGGTTTAGGTTGGATCTTAGGAAAAGGTTCATTGTCCCAGAGGGTGGTTGGCACTGAACAGGCTCCCCAGGGTAGTGGCCGTGGCACCGAGGCTGCCAGAGCTCAAGGAGTGCTTGGACAGTGCTCTTAGGGACACGGTGAGATTTGGGGTTGTCCTGTGGGTCCTGTCTGCCTCAGGATTTTCTGTGACTCTGTTACTTCTTACCTGGCACTTGTAAGCCTATTTGTTAAGCAGCAAACCCACACTTGTCTGAACTTATCCCACATTCCTACACAATCCATCAGTACCTCACTGTTTCCTTGGTCCCCAAGGGGTTTATTTGTTTTGTTTGTGCCTGTGGGGGTGAGGGACTCCTTGGACCAGCTTCCAGAGACAGCTGGAGATGAAGGACGCTGCTCAGAGTTCCCCTGCAATTCAGCTGAGCATCACAGAATCATAAAATCACAGAAGGGTTTGGGTTGGAAGGGACCTATTTACACTGGGTGTTGATTCCAGTTGCTTCTCTCAATATTCTATGAGTAAAATGCCAGTAAAATTTGACAGTCAACTGTCAAATACATTCAAATAAGTAGTTTCAGTTCTTTGTTTCGCACTGTCACCTGTCGGCAGCTGCAGAGGGTTTTCTTTTAGGCTTTGATGTTTTTGTAAGTGAGGATGTACAGCTGCCAGCATTACATACACGTACCAGCCATTTCCTTGACTTACTGTTTCCTATATGGATTAGAAATAATGTGTTTTCTAATGGTCCAGCTAAAATATTTCAGGCATCTCTATCATATAATTTTATTTTGTACTATATATATATTTATATATTTTCACTTTGGCTAAATATAGTATTAATGTAAAGCTCTTCAGAAATGTGCTTCTTGTGGGTACACAATTATTAACCAGCAGAGGGCTGTCATTTGTTACCTTAGAAGACCAGAGTTTAGTCCTAAATCTTGCATTTCAAATTTGTGCAATTTTTCTTTCCAAAACATTGGAGTAATATTTAAAAAGTATTCATGCACCCACAAGAAATAACTTGTGTAGGAACAGGAAAAATAAAATTTATCTAAAAATTAGCTAAGATATGCAGTTTTTGAGTTGGGAATAATAGGCCAGGAGAATGATATTGAGGGGAGTGCATGAATACATTTCTGTATTCAACCATCAAGATTTGCTTTTAATTTTAAGCATGTTAAAACTTGTGTTATATATATATGTGTGTGTGTGTGTGTTTGTAATGAACACCTGGAGTAACTTTAGGAGTTTAATTCCGTATAAAATCATAAACACACACAAATTATAGGCTACATTCAAGCTGATGGATGATATGAGATGGTCAGTACAGCCCATTATCAACCTCAGAAAGACATTTACTTGGTGTTTTAAAAAGGCATTAACAGACCTGTTTATTTCATCACATTAACCCCAAGTGAAAGTCAGGTTAATTGTCTGGTAGTGCAATAGAACAAATCCCTGGAGGGGGGATGATTATTTGCCTCACTCATTATTGGGATCACCAATATTAATATTTATGATACACTTTTGACAATGACTTTTTTTTTTTAAATTTTAATTTTGACAACTTATTAGCCCTTACTGTGCAAGAGAAAAATGCAAAAATCATGTCTAAGTCATTAATCTGCCCCTTTGTGTAATGACAACAGCCTTATCTGAAAGCTAGTGACAGTTCCTTTGTGTGATATTAATTAACTTTTGTTACTGATCATGTAAAGAGCTGAGGACTATCTGTGAGAGGAAAACCAGTATTTAGATAAGTTACATAAAACTTATTTTGTATTTAAGTAAAACTCTGTATTTTCAGCTGTGAAAACGTGGTGAGATTTCCTGCTCTGTGGATTTTTTTATTGTGTCTTTGATTTCATTTGTTGTTTGGATTTAGAAATACCAATATTTGTCTGTATATATAAATACACATAAGAAATTGAAAAAATGTGTTCCATAATCTGGGAATTTTTTATAATCCATTTTTTATCCACATTTATTCAGGTTCTTAGAAGATCTAGTTCTGAGGGGGGCACTTTCTGTGATTTGCAGTTGGCTGAAATAGATTTTCCTCCAGCAGTCACCATACAGGACATTCTTTATATGTTCAAAAATATTACCCCTAGAAAAGAAAACCTAATTATTCTTCTTCAGTGAAGCTCTTGTAAAAATTACGTCTGACATGTTTTTGCTGGGTTAAAAATGGACTCCAATAAAGGAACTGATGTGGGCTCTGCTCTGATGGATTG